TATTTTTTCGACACATACCTGTCGAAATTTGGACAATTTTCGACAGGTAGGTGTCGAAATTTGGTTTTTTTTTTTTTTTTCTTTTTCGACACGTTGGTGTCGAAAATTGACCAAAAAATCGACCTGTATGTGTCGAAAATTGCCGACGGGTTTCAAAAAAAAAAAACTTCAAAATCGACTTCGAAGCTCAAAAAAGACATCGATACTTACCTTAATGTGTTCTCCTTTCATATATACTACCATATTATTGTCTTATAACTCAATTTTATACGTTTTGTGAGGTTTTAATTTCTTTAGTTTTGATATTTTTTAGAAGGGTTTGTTGTGAGATTTTTTAGAAGGGTTTGTTGTGAGGAAGATTTTTTAGAAGGGTTTTTGGGGAGGGAGAAGAAGGAGGTGGAGAAGGAGGGAAATGGTTTTTTGAGTTTTTGATTATTTGGTATTTAAGAAAGAAAAATAGTATTTGTAATATTTTTTTAGTTTTAATTTCATTAAGGGTATTAAAGTAATTTACAATTAATTATTTATTTTTTATTTTTCTGGTATTCAAGTAAGCAAAAGTTGGGATTTGAAATAGTGATCCCCTTTTGCCTAGTCCTCATTGTGTTGTACCAAATCCTGTTATAAAAAACTTGCATAAAATCCAGAAAAAAAACATAGGAAATTTGACACAGGTTTTCCTTAACATTCGGGGTTTTATATTGTTTACCCATTTTATGCAAGAAGTTCAATCAAGAAAAACCCACCAAATTCCATTTTTGTTTTGAAGAAAATAGCCACCAAAATTGGAAAATAATATCAGGGTTCAGGGTTTTTGGCTTTGAAAATTCATCCAGATTCTGATTCTTCTGAACTCCGATCTTAGCTCAGGAATTTAACTTTGATTAATCCAGAAAAAAACAAAGAGATGTCTTTCCGACAAGCAGTTTCTAAATTGTGTAAGGAGCTACTAAATTCTGCTCCGATGCGTATCAAACCCTACAATTCTTGCCCAATCGCAGGTAAGCTTTTCACACAGTATTTAATGGCAAACACCCATTACAAATTTGGTGTCGTTTTTGGTGAAATACATCAGGTGATTATTAACCTTCATCTGCACATAATCACAAACACCCACATGTGTATGTGTGCTTAGTGGGAAGTTATTTCATCGCATCAACGGTTAATAATCACCGCGCATAGGATCTCAATAACCGTGTTATGAGATGGTTACTTTCCGTTTCTTCATTGTGCATTCGAAATATTTCATCGATTTGATTGATTATTCCTTCCGTGTATATAACTTGAGATTCGTAGATGCTACAACCGATGAAATGGTTTTACATCGCGTACCTAGAATTATGTTCGTCTTGCATTAGTAGTGTTTGATGCAGTTGACGGTGCATTTACGACACAAACACGTCCTGCATTTTTCGTTTGATATCGGATTGTTTTATTTTAAAGATTTTGTGTCGGATTGTTCGTTCATTTTCAAATAGAATTCACTGTGTCTTTTAGTCATTATTTTAGGCCTCGTTTGGTTGGGTAGATTAGCCATTATTAACTAAAATAATTGGACTTTGTTTGATGTTTGGTATCTCCAATAACTTACCGGGTCGACCCGTAACTTATCTTGCCTTCTTGCCTTTTAGAGTGTTTTTTTGTTGGACGCCCTGGGGTCTGATAAAATAATTGGGTTTTTCATTAGATTATTTAATCATATCTTGGCTAATCTTATATCGGCAACCAAACAAGGCCTTAGTTTATTTTATATGGTGATTTCTGAGCCGATATTGTTTTATTTCCAGGAAAGTTGATAGTTTCCAAATACGATTTTGGAGGCCATTCGTCGAGTAATCACCGACGTGAAGTATTTCAATGGGTTATTCTTTTTGGACAAGCTGGTATGTACTTTACGTCTTAGGTTAATAAGCCATATATTTATTTTTATTACGTTTATGTGTTGATTCGACAACAAGTTGATAAGAAGATAAAGCTGGTAAAAGCAGTCGATGTATGAAAGTGAACTGGAGACGTTGGAATTGAGTAATTTACGAGTATTTAAAAAAATCGTTTCAACCAGGAAATTTGATAGATAATGTAATCTCAAGACTCGGTGCTAATTGTAAAGGAATTAACCTAACCTAATGAGTCAAACTATGAAAGTTGGAAACGAGCGACTTCGAAGCTACTCGATATTGACTCGGTGGTAAAGGAATTAACCTAATTTTGTATGTAATTCTTATATTAGTATAATACTATTTTATATTATTTAAATTAAAAATAAAAATAAATACTAGGCTCGCGAAATCACGAACAACTAAGAAAAAGCTCAAGCTCGGCTTGTCAGAAAGCTCGAGCTCGAGCATTTGTCGAGCCGGTATCTTTCATCGTAATTTCTTCGGGTATTACGAGTCGTCGATTGTTCAATATTTTCTTTATGCAGCGATTATTCTCGGGACGTGTTCCACGCCTTCATTGGCAGAAGATGTTTCGACTGGATCAAGTTCCGAAAATGGCTCTAGTGGCTTTCGTAAAATCGAGGATGCATCAATGATATCGAACGAGCATACATCTAAATGGAGAGTTTTTACCGATAACGGAAGGGATTATTTTTCCCAGGCAAGTGGGTTGCGATCCATTTCCGTACAGTTCCATTTGTGTACGATATTATTTCGATCTTTATATTGATAGTCGACTATTCATATCGTGTAGGGAAACATCGAGCAAGCTGAAATATTTTTCCGATCTGCACTACAAGAAGCTAAAGAAGGCTTTGGAGAACGAGATCCTCATGTTGCATCTGCGTGTAATAACCTGGTACTTCTCTAACCAATCTTTATCCGCTACATTAGTGGAGACGGGATTTTTTTTTTAATCGATTTATTAATTCTTTGCTACATTTTTCGTGTTCGTCTTTTTGCAGGCTGAACTCTTCCGAGTGAAGAAGGACTTTGCGAGTGCGGAACCGTTGTACGTCGAGGCCATTAATATACTAGAGGAGCATTTCGGAACAGACGACGTAAGGTAAAATACGTGTTTGGATGACGACAGTTGCATAACTTTCTGAAGGGGGTAAAAACGTAATTGCAGCCGTTCTGTATGAAATGGCAGTAAAACTTTTGTGCGACGAACTGTTGGTATTATTTTACCATAGTATATAATTAACTGTAATTTCACAGTGCTCGTCTATTGCAAATTTGCGATTCCTATTTTATTGTTTGGATGTCTTTAAAAAAAAATTCACCATCGATTTCCCGCTAAAAAAATACCGTCTCGTTTAAATTGATGAAGTTCAATTTTTCATTAATGCTCTGTGTTGAGTCAAAACCGGAGCTTACTGAGTCAAAAAACGAGAGCTATAGTATTGAGATCGAGTGTTTATATATTGTAAGCTGCAGTTTCGAGTTTCTCTCGTTTACATCAAACTAAAATTCTAGGATATCTTGATTCGAATTTACTCATTTTTTATTTGATATTTTAGAAATTTCGTTTCGTCTAATGTTGCAGAGTTGGGGCTGCCCTTCACAATCTCGGTCAATTCTACCTCGTACAGCGTAAATTGGAAGATGCTCGTGTCTGCTATGAGGTAAACCGATTACAATGCACACGCAATACTTACACTTTTGTTCTTTACGCGCGTCAAATGGAATCTTTTGCCCCGTTACTTCGTTCATCTATTGACGATTCCATATTTTTTTCTTTGACCAATTTTCTGACAGCGTGCTATGAAGGTTTGTATCTGTCATTACGTCACACTTCTATCTTCTTCGGTTATTCAACGGAAACAAACTTCTGGTACTACCGTTTTCTGATTGGTCAGATAAAGCGCCGTGTATTAGGAGAAGCGCACACCGACTATGCCGATACTATGTACCATCTAGGGACCGTAAGTCCGCAAAGCTAATCCCCGATTTTTTTTTTCTTCTGAATTTTCTCGTAATTTTAGAACAAACCCATGATTATTAGTCGTAATTTTAGAATTAATTTTTGGAACGATATTTCTGAAGTAACTTCGTAAGTATTTGTAACGTACAGGTTTTGTATCTCCAAGGGAAAGAGAAAGATTCCGAGGATCTAATTGCGGATTCTATACGAATACTCGAGGTCCGCCGAATTTCTATCAAAATGAATGCACGGTAGTTTTCGGTATTAATCGAAATATATATTTTTTTGCTTACTGCTTTGCGTCGAATACGTAGGCTGCCGGCCAAGGAGAATCTATCCTATGTATCAGAAGAATGCAATATCTTATTCAGGTTGTCGTTCCGTATTCACAGCCATATGAAATTTGCAACAGCTTACGCAATCGATATAATTTTAAGGGTAAATTACGGCCACCCCCCGAGGTAAGGTCAAATTACGAAAAAACCCCTCGTGTTTGGGTAATTACAACCATCGCCTTCAGTATGTGAATCTTCTTACACGTCCACCGTTATTAGAACACCCGTAAGGGTGGACGTGTAAGAAGATTCATATTTGAGGGGGTTGGTTGTAATTACCCAAACAAGAGGGGTATTTTCGTAATTAACCTTACCTCAGGGGGTGGCCGTAATTTACCCATAATTTAAAACGATTGTTAGAGCCAAACGTATTATAATATTATTATTCTTCCTACTGACTGCAGATGTACACCAAATCCAGTCGATTTGCCGAGGCTGAGATTTTATTGAGAAAGATTCTGCATACGATGGAATTATCGAAGGTTTTCTCGTTTTTTGCATTTCATAATTCTCTCCGTGGGGATTAACTGCGATAATCGATGTTAATGCTTTATCGTATGACGTAGGGATGGAAATCGTTGGATACTGTTGTTGTAGCTGAACGACTTGCATTGACCCTCGAAACAGCAGGTAGATTAAACGAAGCAGAAGAACTATTAGAGAGGTCGGTACATTAATTAACGTTTATAACCGCTAAATGACGAAAAAGAATCCGCATGAAAAAACGACACGTATTATTCTCGTGTTTCAGATGTCTTGATGCTCGGAAAAACTTACTTCCCGACGACCATATTCAGGTTTATACGATTGGGTTCCTATCAAAATTCGTTATACTCGTAAGAAGATATGCTTACAGTTATAACTATAATTTCGTGTTGAATAGAATGCTGCCAACATGCTTTACATTGCTCGAGTAAAGATGCTCGTATCCAACCAGCTAATGAAGACGGACAGTTCTCGAGCTGTGGCGGAGCTTGATATCGCCAAAAATCTTTTGCGCAGTTCAATAAGGTTAGACTACGTGGATCGTTTATTTATCAAATTCTGTCTCGTCATAGTTTGTTTTTACATTTTAAATTTGGTGTAGGGGTGTAAATGAGCTGAGCCGGCTCGACAAATGCTCGAACTCGAACTCGAGTTTTTCGAGCTCGAACTTGCTGACGAGCCGAGCTTGAGCTTTTCCTTAGTTAGTGAGCTCTCGAGCCTGCCTTTTTTTTTTTTTTTGTTTTTAATTTATATATATTATTTTTAGTTTAGATAATATATGATAATATAAAATATTATAATACTACTATAAAAATTTAAATAATAATAATTAAAGTTCATTATTTATTTTTTAATATTTTTATTATAATACAAATATATTAGAAAAAAGAAACCAAATGAGCTTGGGCTCGAGCTCGTTAAAATTGGCTCGAGCTCGCTAAAACAATCAGGCTCGGCTCGATCTCGGCTCGTTTACACCCATTTTGGTGGGATTAAATCATTGTGACTGATTAAGCTGGTTCAATTTTTTTACTCAAAATTCGAAAGCAAATACATTACACACGCAATCTGCTAGTTTTGTGGTGCCGATGTGCTTTAGTAATTTCTACTTATCAGATATCCGCGACTTTTTATGCATTCCTTTAAGTTGATCTGAGGCTGTACTTTTGAATTTTGAATTTTGAAGTTGAATTAATATCTCTTCACAGGGTAGCTCGACGAGTTCTTGTTCGACTTTTGGAAAAGAAAGGAAACAGAGAACCGATTGGAGGACTCAGAAAAACGGGCAAAGATGCGCAATCAGCAGCCCTTATACTAGTTAGTTTGCTTTATCTTTCAGAAATCGTACTTAAAAATCGATCGATTCGCTATATTGATTTTTTTATACAACTATACTAACGTAGTTTTATACCAGATGTCGTGCACGTATACATACAACCTCTAACAAAATCGTCAATAACTGTTTTACTGTAAAGCTTCGTCTATTTCCAAACAATCGGGGCTATTTTTGCGTTATTTTTAAGTATTATCAAGTAAAATTTGATATCTATTTGAAAGCGACGTCTTTGTTTTTGGGGTAGATTACGGCCACCCCTGAGCTAAGGTTAAATTACGAAAACCCCCCTCTTGTTTGAGTAATTACAACCATCCACTCAACTATGAATCTGCTTACACGTCCACCCTTAGGGTGTCAAATTCAACGTAATCTTCTAGATTTCGTGGAGTGTTCTCTAGTTTGTACTCGTTTTGTGCAAAAATGCAGATTCTGATGCACCACAACAATCTGATATTTACGAGCCAAGAAACACATCGTATAATTATCTTGTTTCAAAATGTGGACTAATCTAAGAGATTCCACTAAATTTGACACCGCAATGGTGGACGTGGAAAGAAGATTCATAGTTGAGGTGTGGTTGTAATTACCCAAACATTTGGGGGTTTTTCGTAATTTGGCCTTACCTCAGGAGGCGACCGCAATTTACCCATTTTTTTATGTACTAATATAAAATCTCTCATCCTTCTTTTCGGTTTTATCCTTGTCTATTTTTGGTTCATTTCATTCTAAATAGCATACTCGTGAAGCGTACTAAATAAGTATAAGTGGATACATTTGTTTATCGATGACTTGGATTAATTGGTCAAAGCGTTGCATTGACTAACGTCGATATCATCAATCCTACTGATATTTATATGTCAGAATCTTTATCCGATTTATACTAATTTTGTTCTTTGTAGCTACAATCGCTCAATGCTCTCGGGTCACTGGAGATCATGAAACTGGAATTTCTCGGCTCGAGGGTCCGTATTTATTATTTTTCGTGCACCGTATAGTTTTTTTCTCGGGAATGTAATTTAACCATTTGTTTTCTGAATCGGCTCTGATGCTGTAAGATATGTTTTTATGCGTCTTTTCCGAAACAGGAGTATATTCCAGCTGAGGCTGATGCAGCTCTTCGACAATGCATTTCTACTTTTAAAGAGGTAAATTTAAAATGCGCCTCGATTAATGAAATACTATTGAATTATTTTTTGTGAATATCAAACTACCTCGATTAATGCACGTTGTGAATTTACTCGGTTCTCATGAAATCGATTTTATGTTGGTCGCATAGCAAAATTCGAAAATTCTAGACCTGGCCTGAATTATTTTTCTATTTTTGTTCAGTTTGGAGATCAACATTCAATATCCGATTCTCCTCAAGTAAAAGCCGAGTATCTGTCGTGTTTAAGGCGCCTCGATTATCTGTTGTGCAATGGCTTGACAAGTGAAATAGGTGCGGCGAAAGATATTAAGGACGAAATTCGGCGCGTTGAAGGTGAAATATCGAAGGCTGGAAAAACCCGAAGTTGAATTGAGTTCTGTGAAAGTCAATTTCTTTCGTCGAAATAAAACCCGAAATCCGCATTTATCTTTTTTTTTTTTTTTTTTTTTTTTTTGGCTACATTTTATTAGATAATTTAGTGACTTTTGTTAGTATGGTAAACTGTAATGTACCATCGGCACCCGGTGTGGACTTCATCTGATGTAACATTAAATTAACTAGTATTGCAAATAATAAAATTCGGAGACTCGGTCACTTTATTTATTTTTTTTTATTTTCCGTTTATTAAAATTTTGTTTTAATTGTGCAGATCGCACCTTCTTGGGGATGAAAATAAAAACAAATGTGAAGCGGTATTTGTAATCTGTAATGTTAAATGTCGTTTAAATTTTACTAATACCGTTTTGGCTTCGAACCTAATTTTGACATATTTTTATTTTGATTTTGACAAAATTCGAAACACGAAAACTGTAGTCATTTGGGTTAGTTTTCTAATTCAACTTAAATCCGCTAGATTGGATGCCGTATGACAAAATTATGCATGAATGAGTCACATTTTGAATTTTATATACCTCAATAAATTAAAGTTGTGGGCAATATCCATTGATTCATGTGTATATTTCTTGTCCGACATCCAATTTTGGTGATTCAAGTTGGATTAGAAAACTAACTCAGAATACTACAAATCCTATTTTTCGGGTTTTGCAAAATTTGGACTAAAAAATTATCAAAATCACGTTTGAAGTCGAAACGGTATTATTAAAGCTCGAACGACGTTTATCACATCCCGTAATCTGAAATACATTAAAGATTCGTTTGGATTGACAAAATTGAAATTATTTTCTTCTTAAATTACAACCACCCCCGAGATAAGGTCGATTTACAAAACAAACCCCACATGTTTTCATAATTACATCCACCCCTTGTAATTTGTAGATTTCTTACATTGACACCCTTTTATAGGGGTGGATGTAAGATATTTACAAACTACAGGGGTTGAATGTAATTTCTCAAAAATAAGGGATTTATCCTTATTTTTTTGGATGAATGACTAATAACAAATTTCAGAAAATTAAATTTTATTTTGATCTACCTTTTGAATTAGTATAGTGGATTTAAAAGTTGGATTTTTTTTTTCTTTTCCTTGTAAATAAATAATTTTGTATATTGATGTAGAATAAACCGAAGGAAGATCTATAGATGCTACAACCAAAAAATTTGTAAGAAAAAATAAAAGAATCTTTTTACTTAAGTAATTACAATTTTCTGTCTTAATATATTGTTATATAGTCATTCCATTAATTTAGCGAAATATTAAATTATTAAACTAATATAATGTAATATGTTTTTTATCGAGTCGGGATTGAAAGAAAATTACTATTTAACCGAAATTATTAATTTATCGAAGTTCTATTGTACGGTGAATTGGTACAGTATGGCAATAAACATATGGAAAGTACAATTGGTGAGTTGTAGACTCAATATTGTGCAATCATTTTCAGTCATAAAATGAAATTAGGAAATTAGGAATTAGGACCACAAGCAACAATTGTTTATTGTTTTATTACTATTTATGTTAATAATAAATCTCTTTATTCATTATCAACACAAAGCGCGTGGAGTGGGCTTCGGACAAAATAATGCAGCTGGCTACTCCTAATAAACGCGGACAAACTACAATGACTCAAAAACTTACTCAAATTGAAAGCTTATAATCACAAATTTATTATGTCTTAATTTCATTTCTCGAAATATAGGTGTTTCGCACTTTGCACCCTGGAAAAACTTAGTAGCACTTTGTACTTTCAAATTACAATAAATCATGTATAATGCACCTTGAATGAATTTTTAAAACTAACTAAGATAATTTAATATTTTTAGTGGTATTTCTTAGAATGTCAAATCAAAATTTCTATATTTATTAATCCTTTCGAAACTATAAACTAAAAAAAAATACATTTTTCATCAACATATTTAAAATTTATATTTTTATCGTATAAAAGATATTTTTTTTTTTTTGAGAAACATATAAAAGATATTTGAAAGGAAAAAAAAAAATATCTGGGGGTATCTTTTTTTTTTTTTGGTTTTTTTTTTTTTTTTCCCAAAAAAAATTTTTGAAAGGAAAAAAAAAAATCCCCCAACTATTATGTTCAAGTTTTTAAAAAATTATTTTTTTTTTCAAAAATCTGGAAAAAATATTTTTACGAGTTACAAAAAAAGATCCCTCAAACGAATAATTTAATGAGAAAGGAATATAGCCCAATATATATATATATATATATATATATATATATATATATATATATATATATATATATT